GGGTAAGCCCCTTACTGAAATATTTGCATGCTTATACGTTAGTGCCGTAATAGGATTTTAATTCATATTCAAGACAAAGTAATAAATGTTACCTCACCAACTTCACTGCGTTTTCAACAATGACGTCGCACCATTGGCGGCATTTTATTTCGATCGTTATGTTTCTCTTGCGGTCAATGATTATATTTATTAAGACCTAACCGTTGACCATTTTTACCACCCTTTCATTGTCTTGTGATCATTGTTTCCGAGTCGGCCTTCGGGCATTGTAAGTTGTAAACAGTTTTGTTTTCTTGAAAATTGTTTTGAAAATGTTTTCTAGACCCTATTGGAAACAATCCTCTTAGTTTAATTAGGAAATCAAGATTTTTTGAGTACTTTAAAATTACAGATTTTCGAGAGGATAGTGTTATTATTATTATTATTATTTTTGTCAATGTTATCCTGTGTCACACCCATGTTTACACCAGTGTTTTTTTTTTATCTGATGTGGCAGTATAAGGTATTATATAATTTTTACACTGTCAAGACAAATGGAATACCGGCACAGGTTTGACACAATAGGGAATTTCCGTTATACTAGGCCAAAAGAATATACAGTGATCTCAAGTCGCACTCACTTAATCTATAAACAACTAGTAGAAACTCTCTGGCATAATTTAGGAAGCTTTTTTCATCACCTTTGCTTTCAAAGTAGCCCGTTCATACAAAACCAACGATTCGGCCTACATCTAATAAGGAGAAAATACGAAGATATATATCTGATTTATACCCGCAGAGTTCACCTTCACCTCTCATACACATATTTACAGCAGTACAAGATATTGTATAGCAAGCCAGTTCACATATATTTTATCATTTACAACTATATACAGCTGCATACCTTATTTACAAGTTTCACAATTTAAAACTATAGTTTATTATTACACAACATAACAATTATAAGGGAAGAACTTGGTGTACATGGAATAGGTTTCATGACATCGTTCCAGTGCTTTGGTTGGTCGATACAAACTTAATAGTATTAACTATATAGACACCTTATGCACAAAATGAATATTTTACAGTACTATATATATATCCTTTTATAAAGTACAATAAAATTGCTATCATTGCAGCTGTCTACGCTCGTTTTAATTTGTTTTGGTTTCATAGAAAACTCAACAATGAAACCCCAAAAGCTCTGAATGTATGACAGAAGATTTTATGGCATACAACAATCACTCTCATCAATAATTATTCAAACATATTTACCTATTAATAGAATGAATAAATAAATTTAATAGAATGAATAAATAAATTATATTTCCAATAACTATCACAACCTTCACAATCGATAAATCATTAAACCCCATATAAACACATGAAAATAACATACAGTTATATACCACTGCATCCGCTCGAAAAAAAAAATCCGCTCGAATTCGCCTTCGCTCGAAGTGGCATCCGCTCGAATTGACTGGATCCGAGGCTGGGACATAAAATGTTGTTGTTTGTTGTTATTTCGAAATTCGCGACGTCATCAACGAGTACAATACATTCAGTCCCGTAACATGATTGGTCTATTTTTATCTAATTTACATAATGATTTTTCCAACATTTTTGTCTATTTAAAAAAAAGTGTGTAAGTTATGGAGATGGTAACAATCATAAATCGATTATAAATTTAATTATATAATTTTAGACAAAAAATAAACCCTCTTGGCCCACGGCCCATTTTTTTGACACCATGACCATGCGTATTATTAACCTGTAGTGTATATATACGAAGAATTTTTTCTAGTAGGTTGACTAACAGGTACTTGGTGTGGTACTAGGTTTATTGCATTATGGCTTAGGGGCCGCGGTTTACCTCCCTCCGTTTAGTCATGCTGGATCAGGAATAGTAAACTCAGCGATCGTGGGTTCGATTCCCACATGGGGCAAGTTTTTTTTTTTAATTAATTTATTTTTTCAAGGTCGTGGGTTCAATTCTCACACGAGCCAGGTTTTTTAAAAAA